ATATTACATTTTACCACAATTTTAAAAAGCTAAGACAAACAACAACAACCTGATTATGTCCCAGCTCTGCCCTGTTCCAAGTGACCTTAGACAAGTCACTGAACCTGCAACCCCACGCTCATGTGCTGTGGAGATCAGAATCCCAAAGGCATAGCCCCAATGCGAAGCCCAAGCAAGATGAAGAATGTGAAAGAGGAAAGCTCCTCCCAGCCTGGGAAAGTTCTGTACACAGAAGCTGTGATTACTCTAATTCTGGGAGTTCACTCGGCTGCTATATGTGGGCACATAATTCATACTTATAAAACTCATGCCATGGTCTGCAAACAGCAGCAGTCCCTTACCCACGTGGCCTACAGCCAGGCCTGTGGGTTAACTCCATATTCATGTTCATTCTGCACACTTTCTCTGGGCTGATTCAGTGCCATTATTAAATTTCCTAACTGAGAGCTTGTTTGTAATAGCATCTATATTCTGCAAAGAAGCAGCAACCTGGAATGACACCCACCGGTGACTGCTGGCCCTGCAGCCATCTTCCACAGAGGAAGGGGACATGGGCACAGAGGCAGGCCCTCACCTTTGGGGATGTCTTCCAGGGCCCAGGCTCCTGTGTGTGCAATGAGCACCTTGTGTTGTCCCTCGGTCCTCACCCTCCACACCTGTTCCACTGGGGACCGCCACCTCCTCTCCCACATGAGGACACTGGCCCCCCGGGGGTTGAGTACAAGAATCCTGGGCTTTCTCCAGAGGAAGAGAGATCACAGCCCTAACCAAGTGGTGGTGTTCTCTTATTGAACATCTAGAGTTTCACATACATCAGCGTCAGGCAAGGCCCCTCAGGGCCTGAGACAGGTCACGACATGTTAAGATCCCTCAGTAGTCATGGCCAAGCACAAGCGAATCATGAAGAGCATCCAAACCGTGAAAATGTTCAAACATTCCTCTCTCCTGGCTTTAGCCTTGCTCCATCCTTCTGGCCTTCCAGATAAGAATTACTGAGATAACCATAGAATTGCCCTCTCTTGAGCCACAGAAAAACCCTGCACTTTAACCTTTCTCCAAATCATCTCACATCAGCCCAGATCTGACGAGAAGTCCTTGCTCACCCTGTCTCCACCACCATGCTCCTCTGTGCACAAGGAGTAAACCCAGTTTGTTCAGGACAGGTGTGTTCCTGGTGGCCTTCAGCAGCAGGAAGAACAGTCCTTCCCAACCTCAGACTTCTGGACGTTCAGTCTTTCCCTGCACCTCCCAGACACATAGGGTACTTAACTTAGGGTTGACTTTGTTTTAGTTTTTACTGCTGCATGGTTCCATCTACTTTGTGGTCCTCTGAAGATACTAATATGTCAGAATCACAGATCAACTTAAGACTCCCAAGTGTTGGTCAACTCCTGTTGAGAAAAGAATCATGCATTTGCTCATCCATGTCTTCATTCTCCATGTTGGTAGTGGGTTCGCCTCTTGTTCAGAATTTGGGATCCTGGCACACCAGACCCATTGGCGCTCAGGACAGAACACACTCGGAGATGCTAGGACAGGATGAAGACAGTGATTGCCAAGGACCCTGCCACTGTCCAGGAGCAGAAGGGCTCCCTTCACCTGCAGAGCCCAGGAAGCCTCTGTGATTGAGCTGGGCCTTAGAGTATGATCCTCATAGAGAACAAAGGCCTGAAGGCAGAAGAAAGTGAGCAACGGCTCAGAGATGGGAAAATCCTGCCATGTCGGGGTGCACCCTGCAGAGCATTGAGATGGTCAGGCAGAGGGAAGAGTGGAAGTGGGTGAGGCTGGTGGGGAGGACAGAGCAGCACTGGAAGGGTCCTGAATGCCCGCCCCCACTGAGGTGTGCACGTGATCATGTAGCCATAGGGAGTCGGGGGCCTGCTTTAGGCAGGAGACTGGCGTGACCAAATCCATGCCAGAAAGATCGTTCTGTCACAGGCAAGAAGAAAGATTGTTTTAAACATGACTCATGCAGCTGGCGGCTGAGTGTTGATTCATGGTCTAGAAGGGGTATTTATTAGCTCTAATGGACTATGAGACTAATGGGCCTTGTGTGCCCCGGTACAGAACTTTGACCTTACTCTGTGGGTGACTGGAGGCCTTTAAGGGGTTTGAACAGGGCAAAGATGTAGACACATCTACCAAAAGAAACCAAGCAATCCCCCACAGCATGGTATGTCCACGTGTGATTCTGTGTAGGCATTTGGAATAACGAACGTCACTTGAAGACTCCATCCTGACCTTGCCAGAAAACCAGGTTGGAAATTTCTGGATCAAATGATTTCTTAGCTTCCCTCCAGCTCAGACAGTCACAGGTCTGTAACAAGGAAAGGAAAGCTATTGCCTAAGCATATAATGCATCACGATGTCAGACTTTGGGATTATCTGCTGCTTGGGGTTTTCCACACCACCGGTCCCCTTCATTAGTGGGGATAATTGAGAGTTGACTGCAGTTATTACTGCTGTTGCGATGGGTATTTGAAGTTAAATTCCGGCAAGGAGATGTGTGAATGTTTGTCTCAGCTGCAGAAAGTTAATGCAGTGTGGCATTAATTACCCTGTCTGAGCCTGCTGTCGTCTTCTGTTTTTAGGTGTCATTCTCAGTTGGATAAATTAGTTTCCAAAATTAGAATAGAACAAATTGTAGGGTGAGATCAAGGCAGCCTGACTTCTTAGGGCATCCAAAAAGAAGAATGGGCTGAGAATAAAGGTCTACCAGGAAACCTTCTGACATATCCCTGAAACCCAGCACAGGCAAAAAGGAAATGCTTCTTCTGTTTGCTATTCTTGAGTGTTCTCTGCTCCATCTTGGACACCCACCCCTGGATGCATACACAACAAATTTTACATTTAATTTTACAACAGTTATTGGGAACAGTTCAAGGTGTTGGCAAGAAATAGATTGGGTACTTAGTAAATCATCTTGCTGTACATTTTCATCAATTTGATTTTGAAAGAATAAAGCCAAATTGAAGTCTATTTAAGACAGAGGGATCCGAACAGCAAGGAAAGTAGAAACCATATCATAGTCATTCGCTAGTTCACTGTGCCCTTATTGAAGACCTACTGTGTTGTGATCCTGTGTGTCCAGTGGCAGAATGGCTGGTGGGAACCCTAATCAAAATGGGCTTCCATCCTTCGGGATGCGCTATTTGTTCCATTTCCAAGGGCAATGTGAAGTCCAGAGGTGAAATGTTGGAGGGACTGGCTGGCCCTGAATTACATTACAGAGCAGGAGGCATTCCTCTCCCTGGAAGAATGCACACAGAATGAGTCCTAGAAGAAGACATCTTGGATCCGATGGCAGGAGTCCTGCCTTTCGCTCTTGGTGCGGTGACTTTGCTCTCATAGGACTCCAGGGAAGCCAGAGTTCTCTGTGCGGGGCTGAGAATCCTTACTTGCACAGCGTTGGGCTGGGACATTGTTTCCTAGGCGACTTGCACTCGATAGCATAGACCAAGCAGGACGACACATTCCACACGAGAGGTAGCACAGTGACCTTGAGACTGCAGTCTCTCTGGACTTCAGTTTTATTGTGAAATAGGACGGAAAGGATAAAAGCTGCTCATAGGACTGTTAAATAAGATAAAATATTGATTTATAAACCTTCAAGCATTCTACAGGTGGAAGGGCTAGTGTCTCCCACCCTGAAGCTATTGTAATAAACTATAAAAATCACCAGACTCTATTTTCATTTCTCATGTTTCCAAATTTACTAGCTCTGTGACCATAGATAAATTACTTCACTTTTCTGTGCTTGATTGTTTACTTGCCAAAGATATAAACCACCTACCTTCCAAGGCTTTTGTAAAAAAGTTAAAAATATAAAGCTGGGAGTGGTGGCCCATGCTTGTAATCCCAGCTCTTGGAAGGCTGAGGCAGGAGAATCACCATGAGTTCAAGGCCAGCCTTGGCTACATAGTGAGTTCAAGGTCAGCTTGGATTGCATAGTGAGACCCTGTCTAAAAAAAAAAAAAAATATATATATATATATATATATATATTCATTTGGGAGATTCAGAAAAATAAGCAAATGAAAGGCACCTGTGCACACCTGGTAGGAGGCACGCTAACATGAAAGATAGCAAAGTTAAGACGTCACCGTGCCTGCTCAGTCCTGACACAGAGAGAGAAGGCACCAGGGGCAACTTCAGCTGATGGCCCGTGCCTGCCTAAGAGAGGCTATGTATCTGACCTGCTTAGCCAGTGCGTGCTGGGCCACCTCAGTGTGGACTGGAGGCTGGCATGGCTTCCACAGGGCCAGACATCATTTCCTGTCACCATGGGTGGATTGCAGGGTTGCTGTACTGTGCTGGTAAGAATCCCTGTATGTGTCCCAGGGTGGCCCCGTCCACACAGGCAAAGTACTGGCCAAACCTGAGACTGGTTGAATGAAAGCAAATCCCAGAGCTTTTGATTAAGAGTGAAGGCCCTTCCTGTGCTGCTCAGCAGCACACCCGGTCACCACCGCTCTTGGGGACAAAGTGCAACATGAAGTACCATGTCAGTGGTCTCCAAGAAGACAGTTGTTAAACTGTGTTGGGAAAATGTCCACGTGGCTCATTGCCATAGTTACCATTCTCTGAAGGCCTGATACTACCAAGTGCTGAGCTAGATGTTTTTTACAGGTTATCTCTAATTCTCTCAAGAATCCTACAAGATAAACAGTATTATTCCCAGTTCATGGTTGGAGAAACTGAGGCTCACAAAGAGTATGGCTTGCCCAAAGCACACAGCATATCCAGCTCTCTCTACTGTACCGTGCTATTCCTCTAACAGGGAATTCAGTCTCAGCTTGAAAACCAAGGCTAGAACTGGATGAGTAGATCTTTGCCAAAATTGTATGCATGATCAAATAATCCCAAACTAGCCCAAGGTCATCCATCATCCACTGTCACCTTTCTGTTGTTGATCTCAAACCCTCCTTCCTAAAGCTATGTCAGAACACCCCCCTTCCTCCGTGGTAAAGAACAGGCCTCACTTTGTCCCTCTGTCCACAGGAGCCAGAGCCTCTCTATGCGAAGATCAACAGACCTAAGAAATAGTGTCAATGCAAGTTGGCGGTGGGTGTATCAAGCCTGGCATGGAAATCACATCTGGACAGGCTCTCTTGTATTCTTCCACTTCATCTCATTCCACAGAGAAATTCACAATTGCCCAGTGGAACTCATTTCGAAGAGGGAACAACATTTTTGGCAACCGATGGCAGATATATATGGCAGCACAAAAAAATAATAATAATAAACCCACAAAAGTATTTTAAAAAGCCACACCCAACATTAAATCACAAGTCAAGCAAATGCTTACCTGACAGATATTCTAAGCTCTCCTAGCTGGGTTTAAGATGACCCAGAATTTGAAATCCTAATTCTGCTTTGTTTTCTCTACTTGTTGACCACTATAGAGACAGAAGATTTGGAGTGACAGACATCCAAGAATTACAGCAAGGTTGGCGCTGACTTTTTTAGGCAAAAAGCAAGGGTTCCTCTGGGACCACGGTATCATCCTCCGTATGCCTTTTGGCATATGACAGTGTTTGCTCATCGCCCCATAGGGCCTGGTCTGCCATTTCTCTACCCCTTTCCTTCCTTTGTCATGTTTGAAAATTAATGGGTGTACAAATTTTGTATTGCTTTTGACTTTTTTTTAAGATATGGGTGAAGAAATCTAACCGGAAGAAAAAGCCTCTTATGAGTGAATTAACTTAAAATCACAAGACAAATAAGTGGTTGACTATTCATTACGAACAAGAACGTTGCCAAAACAACCCTGTTGTTATTCTGCACCCTGCTGAAGAAAGACAGTTTTCGGTTCAAATGTTCATTCTGTGAGTAGGAAAGGACATCAAACCCCATTGATGAGAAAGATGAAAAATGCATCTAATTTCCTAAGAAGCTCTAAACTCTGAGTACAATAAAATAATATTTTTATTTTTTTCCGATACTTTGCTGCTGTGATACTATGCAGACAAGTGTCTTCTCCACGTGCCATTTTCAAAGAAAAGTCATTTGCCAAATAATTCTGGTACAATTCTGGTCACATGGTTTTGGATCTTAAAAACCAGCTTTCTGATGGAACAGTGGTAACATAAACATTCAGCATAACAAACTGATTCTGTGGTCAAAATGGTCCATCTCTATCTCTTTTTGTACATCAGAAAATCTGAATGGGATTTTTATTTTATAACTTGAAAAAAAACCTTACCATTAAACTCTTTAAATATTTAAGGGAAATGGCTTTAAGGAGTTCTAATGAAAAAATTGTCAGTTTTTTTTTGTAAATATAAATGTTAATGAAAATGCTTTTTAATAATGCCATTACACTGTAGAGAAGGTAGCAGATTGAGTGCAAGGTGTGACAAACTTAATGAATGGGTTCACTTGCCAGATGTTACTCTGGAGCATACACTAGGAAGCCGGAGTTCAGGGACAGCTGGCAGGAGCAGTTGGCCAATCAGCAGCCAGAGAACCGGAAGGGGCGCAGGACTCCATAATCCAGCCCTTCTGCACATCCTGTGTGCAGAACAGGGAAAACGGAATTCGCGTTCACAAGGCCTGGCCTACAGATTCCAAAACCTTCCCACCTCTCCACTCCCACCCACTTGCCCGTAAGTCACTGGACTGTATGTGAAACAGAAGGGTTTAAGCTTCCTGTTTTTACATTTATGGGACAAAAAGTGCAGTGTTCGGTTCGTATGCTTAGCACATGATTTTCATAAAGAATCTATATATTTTTTGCCCTACAGAGAATTGTTATACAGGTCAAATGTGTTTTCCTGATGTTCCTATGCAGTCACGGTATATTACAGTTAGTGGTTTAACAACGAGAAGCAAACTTTCAAGAATCATGTAATTAATTGGATTTGGGGATAATCATTATTACTTTGAAAAGTAGAATTTACATTGATATGGCTCATTTAAATAGGCCTGTATGCTTAGGGTCTCCATATCAATAGAAACAAAAATGATTTGGAAGATTGATTTTAAAATGATTATACACCTGATGAGACAAAAACAAAGTGATACATCAAAGTGATTGTTATTATTTGAAGACCACATTTTATACAACCAGGTCACTGGAATCTAGTTTTTTCTCTGAGTAGATAAACCAAGCAAATGTCCATTAGAGAATATATGTAAATAGCATCCGAATGTGGAAAGTCTTAAGAAACAGCAAGTGACCTCTGAAGCGGTCACATGTTGGGCCACAAGATTTCTCCCCGGGAAGGTGCATACAGTTTATGCTAAGGTAACCCCATCACCTGAAGCAGAAAGAGGGAAAGGTGCGATAACCAGGTGGGCTGTCCCGAAGCCAGTTCAGTGGTATGTTCTGGAGATAGGGAGTGATAGGCAGTCCTGCGGGGAAGTTGCTTCTGTTGCTGTGTCTGTGATTCTGATTCTTTACAAGTGGTGCTATCTTCTCCCCCAGTACAGCCGTCTTGAGTTTGTCCTGAAGTACCACACCATTATTCCCATTCTTGGGGTTACTTCTGACACGTGCATGGTGAATCTGGCTGATGTTGCTGTATCAGGTACACTGTCTGGAGTTAATTGCAGAGCAGAAGGTGACAGCCCAGTGGACTTGTCATCATCATGGAACGTGATTGAATATGTAGCTGAGTCTGAGACGAAAGAAGATGCTCGTGTGATGCCTTTCAGTGAGGGAAAGAAAATTGAGATTTGAAACTGCCATCTATATTCTCATTGGCAAAATTCTGCTTTTTCTTTTCCCAAGCACTGTTTCATGAACCCAGAATCACTACACCCTATCCCAGGAATACAGTGTCATTCCCAAACAAGAGCTGAGGTGCCAACACCAAAAGAGCATGGGGAGCCTGCATAGTTCTGGTTAGATCAATAGAAAACCCACGTGTACAACTGTTAATTCCTCATCCTTCACTAGCACTAAATTTGTCACTTTAAATTTTGAAACCAGGGAAATGCCACCTGTCATTCTGTCCCCATTCCCCAGAACTCTTCAGTCTTTACATGCCCCGAGACCTTTTTGATAGTTCATACTCATTCCAGTGTCTACTGAAACCCCATCATGTAACGTACCGGGCACCTTCTTTTAAAAGAAAAATGTTTACTCTGTGGGTTTGGTTCATTTCAATTTCTGCGTTCTGACACATATTTTTTTAATAAAGATGAGAAAGAGAAAATGACTGTTGCAGTACATTTCTAGACCTACTTTAACTTTACCTCAGATGACAGTTTGTTAACATATATGGACACATTATTTTTAACTTTATGTACAATGCATTCAACAGAGCAGCGAAATTTTTAGAAATTTTCCATTAATTTCTGTAACACGCCATGTAAAACTGTTACAAATAAACATGTTTGAGAACAACAGCTTAGCCTGGTTTTGTTCTACAAGCTTCCACTGGACAATCAGGTGACAGATTTGAAAAGAAGTTCATTTCTGCCTGAGGTTTCATCTGACCAGAGGATAGCCTCTGTCTCCCATGTCCTGAGCTAGAAACAGCAAGCTCTGCTGGGACATTAGACCACTTCATCCTCCACCCTCACCTGAATCCAGGCACTTGCTATGCTTGGAAAAGCAGCCATAGCAAGGAAAGAAGATGTTAGGACCAACAAGCCTTGTGAAGATATGGGGTTGGCCACATGTAGCATGAGACTTTTAGAGATGGGGAAGATCCTCTATGGGTGGGTATCTTCTTTAAAAAAAAATCTACTAAACTAGATTGGGAAACCAAGGTTGATCTAGACCAGTGGTAGCAAACCTATGGCACGCATGCCGCAGTGGGCATGCAGAGCCTTCTCTGTCGGCACACGAGCCGAGTCGTTCCAGCAGCTAAGCATCGGATATTCAGGTTTAATTGCAGTGTTGGCACTTGGCAGTAAATAAGTAGGTTTTTGGGTTGCAAAACAGTCTTGGGCAAGCAGTCTCTAAAAGTTTCCCCATCACTGTTCTAGACTGTCCTGGGGTTCTTCATCATTCATTTCAAGGTCATCTGCTTTGAGGGCCTTCAGGGAGGAAGATTTTTTTTGTTCCTTCACATTTTCTACATGTTCACATTTGTTTGAAGGTCTGAAGCTGGATTTTGACTTTTATGTGTATTGAAGAACAAAAAATGTATATGTGTGTGTACATATGTATGTATATATGTACATGTGTGTGATTTTTATTTCCTTTTATAACTAAATCCATTTATCCATTCAATAATTAACCAATTTATAGACAGAGTTACCATAGGTCATTGAGATGTGAAAAAACCCACATCTACCCGGAAATGGTTGTATTGATTGCATAAACATAAACCTTTAATCTGGCCTTGTATGTGCCTGATAGGTTCTAGACACTTCATATCCATTGCCCCATTTAATTTTCTAAAGAACCTGAAAGGATGGGCTGGGGATTTAGCTCAGTGGCACTGCGCCTGCCTCACAAGCACAAGGTCCTGAGTTCGATCCCTGGTACCAAAAACAAAAATCTGAAAGGAATAGGTACCATTGCCAGTATGTAAGGAAACTGAGATTAACTTCCCCAGCTAGCAAATGGCAGAGTTGCAGTTTCAATTTTGAGTCTCTTTACTTATAGTTGATTCCAATTTTAACAACAGTTGGATATTCACTGTTTTAAATAGGCTTACATAATTTATGGAAAACCACTGGTCTCCTATGTCAACTTCCAGACCTCTAGTTGACCTTTGGTCATAATTTAGATTCCTGAGTTCCTCCAGGTTAAAGTAAAAAAATCCACTAGCTCCTACTATCTTGTTACTAAATATACAGTTGCTTCTTTAATTGGCACCTTAGGAGGGGTGTGTGTGTGTGTGTGCATGTGTGTGTGTGTGTACAAGAAAGAATAAATCTTTTGCCCAGCTTGTTCAAGTTTAGCTGAAACTAGTGCTAGTGATTTACTTCGCTACCCTAAATGAATCTTAAAGAAGTGACAAATGAAAAGGTATCCTATTTAGCTGCTAGGCGTATGCCAAAATGTCAGGCAGACATATCTGCCTTCATTCTGTGCTTGAGAGCAAACCCTTGTTGTTTTGACAGTAAATGTTTTTTGTTTTACTCAGAGTGACAGTAGGAAAAATGCCTAGAATAAAAACAGGTTTCATTGAAATCAACCCTCAAAGCTTTGGAAGCTTCTAAAAGATGTTGAAATTCAAGGGAAATGGAAGCAATGGTGCCTGAAAGATTAAAAAGAGAGAGTTAACAGATGTAAAGCTTTCAAGCCATTGAGTGACCAGTTCTCAGTACTTGTGTTAAAATATGAATAATGGTTACCACTGTGTGCCCCTGCTTTGTCCGGACCACTCATTTTCTAGCTAGCATTTGCAAATTTGTAGGCAAACCCCAAGGGAAAAGAAACATACCCTCCATTTTACAGCCTAAGAGAGTGAAACTCAGAGACAGACGCTATGGAACAGCTATAGATTAACAGAGCAGGACCTCTTCCCCCAGAGGCCGAACCTCAAGCCTCTCCCCTCTACTGTGTAGCAAGCACTTCTTTCTGATAATGTCAAGTTGCTCGTGCACCTTCTATAAAATACCTTGAGCATTCCTGTATTCAATTCCAAGTTGCATCTGTTATTATAAAAATCACACCATGCGGTAACCCTGACTGATTCAGTACAGAAATTGAGTCTTAAGTAAAGTGACTGTAGTTAACTTAAAACAAAGAGAAAACCCAGTTTTATTCTCAAGAACAGTAATAGCTCTAACCCAGTCTAATGAATATTTAATTTCAAAACAAAACCCTCACATTCACTCTAGCTTCCAAGGTACAGAGATCTGAAGAAGGAGCCTTTTTGAACAGGCTTTCTGTTCATTCTTTGCTGAAGAATATTAATGATTGCCAAGTGGAAAATGTCTAAATATTCTTGCAAGACGGCGGCCTCTGGTGACTTGGGTCTTTAATCTTCTGAACAACCTCATGCCACTTCTGTCACTCACACTGGGGTCACAGCCTGGAGTGGGGAACAAGCAGGAATGGCTGGAGATGGAATAAGCAGGCCTGAAAGCAGGCACACTGTCAGGAGGAAAATGCCAAGCTGTCTTTCTTCATACTGTACTTTCAGCAGCTCTCCTGCACCTCACCTTTGGGTGGGTGGTAGAGGAACCGAGAGGTCTACCTCATTCAGATTACAGGTCAGAGCCACTCACCTGTAGCTCAGGGTCTAAGCTCAAGAATCTTGAAACTTAATTATTAAATGGAAGTTGTTTCCGTTTACCTATGTTGTGCCATTTCTGATCTGCACAGAAGGAACAAGAAAGGTGATCAGCCATCATGCAGCCTGCATTTACCCCTTGAGATTAGAGCAACGTAGCTTAATCTAAAGATGAGAAACCTCAGTTGATAAGGCCCACTTTCATCAAAAGAAAGAGAAATTGTGCTGAAGTCAAGAAGGTGGCTTTCTTTCTGATAGGCTCTAAACTGAGGCAGCACCTAGGAAATAAAGTATCTGACCAAATAGTCACCCTGTGCTCGTTATTTATCTCTTTCCTAAGTGGAGCATTCTGTTTTTACTGGAAAGCAAATGCGGAGTGCTTTTCATAGAGTGCACTCTGAATTCAGAGATTTGGTTTAGATTCTGGCTCCATGATTTGCCTACTGTTTAACCCTGAGAAGTCACATACACTCTCGAAGATTCAGTTCACTCACATGTCAAATTGAGGACTGTTATGAGAGATACATTTGATAAATCTGTACCTAGAACATAGTGAATGCTCAATGTGCATTGCCTATGGTTACTATCAATGAAAGTCTGACAGCTATTATTTTTGTAATTATTTCTTTTACTTTTATGCTTTACTATTTCTATATCTGTTATCCCAGTACAGCAACTAAAAGTGTGCAAAATGACAGACAGTGATTATTATCTCCATTTTACTGTCAAAGAAAGGCAAGGAAGTGTACACGAAGAAAGGCAAAGATGTATATATATATATATACACACACACACACATACATCTGTGAACTTACTTCACTGGCAAAGTTTAAAGAGAAATTGTCATGGCCTTCTTCATATAGCAGAGAGTTATTATGCACATGCTGTGCCCCTGGTCCTGTAAATGAGCACTAGAGTTTCAGAAACCTTTTTAAATATGCATCCACGACTGTTCCTGTGGATGAACAGGTTCACAGGCAAGTGAAGAATAGTAGGATCATGCTGGGGTGCAGGTGTGGGGTGACAGTGGGGGGGTGGAATAAGGCTAGCAGGGAACACTGGTGGTTAGCAAGATGAGAGGAAGTGAGTGGAGTGCACAATGAGAAGGTGAGCATTAGCGTTGGAGGGAAGGGCATTAGCAGCCCTGACTGGGCCCATGACCGTGATGTACCCGGACTGGCTAGAAATGAAGCCAGAGAATGATGTGCTATTTACGATGTTGCATAGCACAGAGAAATCAATTTCTCAATTCACATCTCAAAGCTAGAATAATAAAACAGCAAAACAAGTTGTACAAATTGCAGCCTAATCTTTCTAATGGATAATCAGAAATTTCCAAATTAAATATTAGCTAATCAAACACAGCTATAAATAAAGTTGATTCTTGGAACGCAATTAAGTCAAGAAACTTTCATACTGGATGTCAGAAAGACAACTGACAAATTCATCAATCTCTTCAAGAGAAAATATTTGAAAACTAGATTTATCATCATATTCCCTTTCCATGGGACACCTGTCCCCAACCAATGACTACTACGAGGCTTAGCAGTGACATAAGGGGTACCCTCATGGAAATTAGAGGTCAGGCCACCTACTGCCTCTATCATTTTACATTGTTCTAAAATTTAAGGCAATGCAATGAACAAATACATGAAAAGAAATAGGGTATCTAACTGTTGTCAACCTACATAACAAACAGGGAGTCTCTCCAACAACTAACGATCCTCATTTGGAAGTAAGCAAGGAGTCCTGCAATGTGAAAAATGAGTGTCATGGAAACCATGAGTGTATTCACAGGGGATGGGTAAAAGGGAACTTTCAAAGGAAAAGTGAGGAAGCTTACTTAAGTTGTTCAAAGACAATAATCCTTGGCTGCAAAGATCAATGAAAAGGGTATTCAAGGATTAATAACAATCCAAGGTTGAGCAACAGATATTGGACAGACATCCTTGCAGAAGTATTTTCTATGTAAGATGGCAGTAGGCTTTGTGTGACATTGGGGCCATGATAGAGACTTTTGTGACAATTTGTATTGTCCAGACTATGGACAGCACCAGACTCACTCTTGGAATATGTATAATATATATATGTGTGTATATATATAGATGTAATACACGTATATATATATTATATATGTATATATAATATATATATAGTGTGTGTGTATATAATTTGACAGGCCTTGACATTAATGGCATATATAAATATA